CCACTAAAAACCAATTTGGAAGAGGGAAGGTTGTGAGAAGTGGGAGCCAATAAATTTTGTTTTGACCATCTCTATTCCTAAACATTATACTACTAAGCAAACAATTATCCTACAATGTAAAATTACGTGGAATGGTATATAAAGGCCAATTTATTCACAAAATGAGGGTGTACACATGTTATGAGATCTACACACGTTATGAGATAAAAGCCACATCAAGATTTGCAAGTATCTTAATATTAACAAAAGGATAACATCAAAGAGTATCCACCAATTATCTGAATCCCAAATCCCAGTATTCCCTTTTAAAATGGAGTGTGGAGGTCTCGAATGCTCAATTTAATTACTAAAAAATAAACTGATAAAATTGATGACGTCCAAAAGATGTGTAAGACATCCGCGAGTTTTCTATAGTTGTAACAAAACTTGTCGTTAGATGTCTCTTTTGAACAACATTTCTAACTTAATGATAATTCACATCAACATTTCTAAAATGGAGTGCATTCGTAGTCAACCGGCTTAACGGCTATTTGAATCGCAAAAAAAAAAAACCCGGCTAAACCACATCAAAATTTTATGGCAATGACTTTATCCACAGGATTTTACTATTTGTAAAACAAATTCTGCCCAATTCATCTCACTTTCAACCAAAAAAGGTTTAAAGTAGTATAATTTATTACTCTACTTTTTATTGGCTATTTTTTTTTGGTTGGAAGTTTTCAGCCTTATATATTTGATTTTATATTTTTCTGCTCTTTTCTATTTTTTGCTTTCCACTTTTTTTACTCTATGTTTCCACCAATCAGACCCTATATATAGCAGCCATGGCTATTCAAATTTAACATAAAAATGAGATACGGTGTAAAAGCGGATAATCTAGCACGAAAAATTCGTACAGAACCGTTTCATATCACATATGTAAACAACATTCTTTAGAAATGGCTCTTTTAAGTTTTAATTAATTTCGGATGACAAAAAAAAAATGAGATACGGTTTTACTTCTTTGCTTTCCAGGAGATAATCATGAACGAGCAAGAAAAAGATGTGTTAGTAAACAAGTGGCTTAATTAGAATGACATAAAAAGGACGGAGAAAGATCAGAAGTCGAACTTAGCAAGTGTTCTTGGCCCAAAAATACTTTGAGATAGTAAAATGTTGTGATTCAAAATAAAATCAATTGTATCTTGTGCTAAACCATAATTTTGTTTAGTAGAAAGATCAGCCACTTTTTTTTTTTTTTTTTGTCAACCACACATTAATTAATAAATAATTCCTTGATTGGTTGCCCAATTAGGAGGAGAAGAGTTTACAAAAGTAACTTCAGAAAATAAAAGTCTAGAAGAACGGGCTAAGCAGTCCGCTTGAACATTACATAAACGAGAAATAAGAGAAAGCGAGAAGAAAGGGAAAGAGACACGGAGAAAACCAAACTCGTCTAGAAGATTGGAGAAAGCAGGCCATTCATCCGGTGACTGTATCATCGAGACTAACTCCGAGCAGTCTGATTCAAACACCTGACAATCGATCCCTCTTGAAAGGATATTCTTCATAGCCCAAATTAAAGCTTCCATCTCCGAGTGAAGAGGGGAGGGACACCTCCGAAGGCACTTTGCACCGAGCAGTATCGTTTGATCATTTCCTTGAAAACACCACCATCCTATACCCATTGTTGGATCTGAATTTTTCCAAGAACCATCAATCCGACATCTTATAGATTGAACCGGTCGTTCCAAAGTTTCCTTAGTAGAACTAGTTTTGATCGGATCCAACTGAGCTTCTTCCCACATTAATTTTTCACTCAAAGCATGATTTAAAATATCTCTGGGTTCAGATTGTAATCCCTTGAAAACCTTTTTATTCCTATCTTTCCAGATGAACCACAAAATCCAAGCATAACTGAAAGTTTTCTCTCCCCCATCTAGATTAGATGGTAACCTCCAATAAAGATAATCTAGATTTGAGAATTCCGAGGTTAGAGGAAAACTACCTATTGCCGTAGGTATATCGGATAATTCCCATATTTTCTGAGAATGAGTGCACTCAAATAAAGCATGGTTTATTGTTTCCTCTGCCATCTCACACCTTTTACAGAGAAAGTCACATTGGATCCCTCGATGTGCTAATTTTTAAGTAACTGCTAGAGATCCCGTAGCAATTTGCCATAAGAAATGTTTTAGTTTTGGAGGGGCTTTGACTTTCTAAGCTTGTGCTTGTAAGATCAGCCACTTTAGCTTCTTGTAAACAACATTCGGAGATGATGTCAAGCACGTACTTAATTTTTGACACAAATAAATGACAGCCATGCTTCTTGTTACTTCCAAGCTTAGAATATAGTTCAAAGCTTGGAAGTAGTAATATGTGTTTATATATGTACACAATTCCTAATGATCAACACCGATGGCTTTGCATTAACAGTAGTAAAAATTGCAAAGCTCCTTACAAGTGTTGGATCTTTTAAAATTTACTCTAAAAATTTTGTTATAACGAAATATTGGTCCATTACTAAAAAATTCGTGTGCATGGAACTAAAATTCAAATCTTTGTGATTAGAAACAATAGTATCTTGAATCAACAACGATAACTTGTGATTGTCGTTTGCATAATTTCATTTATACACTCTTAATGATTCCGCACACAGTTTTATCCTGTCTCCGGGTGACCACCAAGCGTCAATATGAGTTTCTATCTGTCGATATAATTATCTAAGCATTACGTAGATACACGAACATTACAAATTAAATTAACATAAATAATTAAAGTAGAAAGGAATGTAATAATTTAAAATGTAACACAGTTCAACCAAAACGTGACGATCATAACATAACAATTATGTCATGGCGATGCTTTGTATTTGTACGTCTGTCACAGACCAACATGTGTTATTTTAACTCCTAAGTTTTGAAAGTATAGGTATTTTAGGTATTTAATATAGTTATTATAATCATGATGCTAGCTATTCGAAGTCATTCGCCATGTACACAAGCAAACTTAAGTTCTGAAATGACACATACAATTTTTTTAATGTTGAAAAATCTTTCAGGAGTTTGGTAAGTTAGCACCCACAATATTGTTATTAAATTAGAGTATCACTACAAATTTCTTACATATTTGAAATAGTCTGAGACACAGTTTAATAAACAATCATAATTTTTCACTCAATGATATAAACAATTTGAACCAAAACGTACGCATAAATAAAATTACTAATCAAATGTATATATATGACTCGACCGGTTCTAAATCGTTTTGATAAATTTTGTGTGTTTGAACTCAAAACTAAAACTATATAGTAGTGAATGATTTGTTTCATGTTCTACATATTAGCTTATTAACCATTAGTTTCGAAGTAAAATACTTAAAATCGTATATATAACTATATATTCATAAGTAGAGGGAGAGAGGATATATAGTGAAGAGGTCAAAATGGTAGAGAAGTTTCTTTTGATCACTTCCATTAAACACCGTTAAGAAATGCAAGACGAGTCACATGTGAGCAATGTCCAACATCGCACGAAACAACAATGACTATGATCTTTTAATATATACATCTTATGATATTTGCCGATGATTTATTGGTATAGTTTTTTCTTTGGTTATTTTACAGCGAAAATTTAAGACTTCTTCCAATCAATAATCAATTCTAAGCCAACCAGCTTATCTAAACCACTTAGACATGCTTTCTAGTACTACTATATGTAGGTTTGTATAAAAATGGCCACAATAGCCAAAAACTTCGTCATTCAGTTTTCTTGTAGCAATTAATTATTGCATCTTAGATTTTTAGTTAACTTTATGAGATGCTATAAAGTATAAACTAGAGGCTTCTCTATGTCGACTTAATTTCATGGACCGGCTAAAAAGTCTCAAAAACAAACGAAAAAGTTCCAAACAAAAGAAAATAAAGAAAGAAGATGTTGGAGCAATTGAGAAATTATATGATGACATGATGAGATTCCAAAGTTAAGTTGCCACATGCTTCATCATGAATTTAGGGAGTTTCACCAAAAGGAGTCAAGAAAATTAATTGAAGAGAGAATTGCTGCATGTTCAAGATTTACCAATAAAGACATTTTTAAAAAAGAGAAAAATAATAAAGAAAAAGAAGAAGGCATGTTAGGGAAAATGCTTGGCCTCCTTTAGGCAAACCGTTCATGTGTTTCGTTGTGTGTTAATTTATTTTGTACCAAAATATGTTTGTTAGTTTGGACTCCAAACACACGCAATGTATATGTTGAGAGTCTATGATTCTTAGTTTCATACCTTATACCAATAGCTCACTACGGCCGTGACTCACATTTTAGGGCCCTAGGCAAATTTTCCCCTTTTTCTTTTTTACTTATCTAAACTCTAATTTGGATGAACATTTATGTATATAAAATAGAAGTTTTTGGAAGTTAAAATCAGTTTAAAGGTGAACCTGAAACTATACCACTTATATTCCCAAAGTTCTTTTGGTTTTAGAGATTATATCCACTTGAAAGTGTTCTCTAGCTATTCTCTAGCTGTCTAAAGTTAAAGTTTTTGGTGGTCTTTGTAATTCCTTAATGGCTACTTTTGTGGTTCATGTATTTTTCATACATAGCAGAAAATTACATTTTTGTTTCTATCATGGTGTTCTGATATTGTGTGGAAGATTTTATGTTAGTGATATTAATTCAAGATCTGAGTAAGCACTTCATATTAAATGATAAATTGGTAAATAGAAATAGATACTGTAGTGTTAATGACCACACAACACACAAATGATACAGTAGTGTTTCTAGTTGCGACATATGAATCTAGAATCTAACAATGTAAGAGAGTTGTGCCTCTCTATGCAATTGGGAAACTTAAGACATCAAAGATTCTAGATGTCCATCAAGGGAATCATAGAGAGTTTACTGGGCCCAATTGGCCCACTTACCCAACTTGGGGAGACTGTTATAGCTTTGGATGCAAAAGAGAGAACACAACAATCTGGACTATGAAATACTCGGCCACAGCTTTCTAAATTAGTTTGCTCTACATTCAAAACACGTCCGATTTTTCAATTGTGAACAAAAAAAGAACCAAAAAAACCATTGAAACAAATGAAATTCGAGTACACAAAACACAGAACTGACTTGTGCCTTTCTCTTGAAACAAGAAAGCCTCTAAATCTTCCTTTCTCAAAACACAGAACTGACTTGTGTATCCTTTGCTTTCTGCAAACACACCAACAAAAAAAGGCTTATAAGAGTAGGTCCAAAATCAAAAGCAAACAAGAATTTTCACATCATGTAGTAGAAGAACGCAAATATATTCCTCAACCATCTTCCCATGAAAGGCAAATGCTCAAGCACAAATCTCTTACACTATCAGATTCAAGACTCGTATATACATAAATCTGCAACCAAACAATAACAGTTTCTATCTATTTACAAATTCTCATTGACCTTGAAGTGCTTCAGACTCAATCTTAAGCTTCCACACGATTCTTTTCAAGACCGAAATAAGAACACCATGACAGAAACATATATACAAGAACCAAAAAGTAGCAACTAAAGAAATTACAGAGAATAATTATTGACTGTGCTATGCAAAGGCCTACACTTGGAAGTAAAACAATTCGACTTTCTAAGTCTAAGGCTAGTTTTCAGAGACTCTTATTCTCCTTACAACAATCAAACACAAGAACTGACATCTACACGAACCATTATGAAGAATTCCATCAATGCACAAAATCACCATCATCTACATCAACATCATTCACATAAGGAGCTAGAATTAAAATCGAGGAATTTACCTAAGTGGCACCGACGATGATGTTGTTGATCGGAATAAAGATTAGCTTCACAAAGAACCCAACGAATCCCATTACCACAAACCCAATCGCGGTACGAACTGCAACTTTCGTGAATTCTACAAAACCAAAACAACGCAAAATTCAAACCATATTCACCAATACACAGATCGGAATAATCGAAACCACAGATCCAACAAATCGAAGGAAGAAACGGTGAAGATATATAAATTACCTTTGCGATCGGGCTTGTGGCAACGCTTAACGAGACGAATACTATCCTTAGCAAAATCTCTGAGAGGATCAACGACGGAATCAATGGCGTCCATGGCGGCGATCTTTAGCTTCGATTCGAATGATCTGAAAATTGGAAATTGAATCTCAACTGAGTTTCTCTATTATTTTTGGTTTCTTTCTTAAAATCGGAGGAGACGATGAAAGAACGTCACAACGACCAATCACAAGACGAGCTTTTATGACACGTCGGATAAGTTTAACACGTCAGCTTTGTAATGGGCTCGTAATCAATTTATGGCCCAGATGGCCAGATCCATTACTGGCAAAGCAACCATTCGACTGATCTCTGTCTCTTTTCTCGGTACTTTTATCGTTCAAACTTCCTCAACAAAATGGTCTTCTTTCAAATATGGATTTTATATTTATTTGTGTTCAATTAGATTTTATAACTATGGTCACGACTGGCCCGTACTATTTTGATCGCTAAAGCTAAACAAAAAAAATTAAGCCGATTAACAAAACTATTTATTAAAAAAAACACAAAAAGGCTTGGGCTTTCGGTTATCCGTTCGGTTATCGGTTAGATCCATTCAGTTTCGGTTCTTTCGGTTATAAAATTTAGTATCCATTCGGATATTTTGAAATTTCGGTTCGGTTTCGGTTCGGTTCCGGTTTTTTCGGTTTTAAAATTTAGTATCCATTCGATTATTTTGCTTAGGATATTTTTAGATATTTCGGTTATTTTTGAGTATTTTCGGATATTTTTAGATATATATTTCGGTTATTTTGGAATATTTATGGATATTTTTGGATGTTTCGGTTATTTTTGAGTATTTTCAGATATTTTTGGATATATTTCGGATTTTTTGGATATATTTTTGATTTTTTGGTCTATAAATAATTAATTATTTTGAAAATATAATTGTATTTCGGGTATTTCGGTTCGGTACCGATTCGGTTACGGTTATTTCGATTATAAAATTTAGGGGGTGTTATTGATTTATTAATTTGTAAATCCATATAGGATTTGGAATTCTCTATTAATTATGGAATCAAAATATATGGATTTTGAAATAACATGTGTTTACCCATGGATTTCAATCCTTCTATTTTTCTCTTTCAATTCCATACAAATCCATTTAAAACATAATTTGGATTCTCAAATCCAAAAACAAATGACTAAACGAATAACATCTGATTTTAACTAGTAATTCTAAATCATAGAACCAATAACACATGATTTTAATTAGGATTTTAAAATCAATGATTGAATAACAAATGATTTTTGTTTGGATTTTTAATTTCTTATAAATCTATGAACCAATAACCCCTCCTTAGTATCCATTTGGTTATTTTTAAATTTTCGGTTCGGTTCGATTTTTTTGCTTTGGTTTCGGTTTGGTACATTCGGTTTGGTTTATTTGCTCAGGCCTATTTACATGTCAATAATGATTGCCCAAAATTTATGATATATATTTTCATGCCTAAAGCACCAACTTTAGCAATGGGTTGAACCTGACTTTTTTATGTTTTGGATTACAAATCTAAATAGGCTTCGTTTAAAGACTATGTTTTGTAGCAACCAAAATTCGGTTTTTTCTTCAAATATTCAACGTCTTTACCCTTATTTTGTTTAGGAATATATATGTTCTAAATATTTTTTTTTTTTTGGTAGAATATATGTTCTAAATATTTTATGCTTAACAAACTTCCCCTCACTCTCCACTTGCACAATAAACATCATAATATTAACAAAAGAAAAAATTCATAACTCAAAAAAATATTCAAAATCTCTTGAAAGCGGTTACAAATTCTAAAATCCAAACCTCCTTTATTTATGGTTTTTGGCCACCCTTTTCATAAAAAAAACAGATTTATTGATTCTAAAAAAGTAAATAGTTTAAGATTTTTTTCTATCTACTCACTCTTTTCATAAGAAGAAAGATTTATTGCTTCTAAAAAAAGTAAATAGCCTAAGATTTTTTTCTATCTATAAGATTACGAAGTGGAAATATTTGGTTTTATTATTTGGCTCCTAATTGTCGTTACGATCAATGTCTGTTTTAAGTCATGTGTCACACTTGTTATCCACATCGATTTTCAAGGGGATAAAGTTCACTATGTAATGTGACCATTTAAGCGGTCTGAACCGAATTAGCTTAACGGATGAAATAATTTAAACGCGTTGAACACTCTAACTCAGGTTAAATCTATTTCTTGTAAATATCATAGACATTATCATGTGATGGTGTATTTGATTTTAGAAAATAGAGAATAGGAAAAATAAGATGTGTGTCATTATCAAAACAGCATATTAATCTACTTCACCATTGATTTTCTTCTCAAAACAGCATATCAAGCCATCCGCATATTTGAATATATGGTTGGCGCGCGAAAGTTTGTTGAATATCAAGGTTACAATTGAAAGATCCAAGGATTTCTTCTAAAGAAGATATATTTACACATTAGATGTTGTTCTTATTTTGAAAAAAAAAATACTGTGAAAAACAACTCATGCCAAATTTAGAAAACTTTAATAAAATATCAGCGGTTTAGACGCTAAATTCCGTTCCTAATAAAAGCGGAATAGAATTTTCGCGCGAAAATCCATTTTAAAATCAAATGATGGAAAATTTCTGAAAAAAGTTTTGGGTTTCAAAAAGATTTTGGTGATTCTTTGGCATAAAGATTTTGGTGATTCTTTGGCATAATTTAATCTAAAGCAAACAAAAAATAAGATTTAACTAAAATTCCATTGTCTTCCATACATTTATTTCATCAATAAACACATGAAAGACTAAACATAACATCAACAACAACAAAACACATGACATAAACGAAAACAAAACATCACAACAACAACAACATGAGTCGATAGAGATACAAATTCTCACAAAAACATTACAACAAAAACTTTTCAATTCCCGCCGCTGCTTCCTCCAATTTCCCCAGCTGCCTCCTCTCCGTCATTAGGCACCGCCGGGCACTCCTGCATCTGCGGCGGTGGCACGTACGTACCATTACAACCAAACACCGGATGTCCTATCACCATTCCCGGCGGAAGTACTTCACCCTCAGGATGTGGCATGGGCACGGGATAAGCGGTAACGACGGACGGGTCTCTTGGGACAACGTCGCCAAGGAAGGTAAATTTCAAATCACGAGTCACTGCGGCCGAGATATCCGATCTCTTGAGCGTTTCGCGTTTGCCCTCCACGGTATGAAGCCAAGATCGCATTGTGAGATCAAGAATGAGCATCTCACAGGCCTTCGATATTAGGATGGGAGCTTCCGCAGTGACCTTTTGCACGTTCGAGTCGGACTTCATAATCTTTTTGATCCTCGCCAGTGGAAACTCATTATGTTTAACATTAGAGGCGTTTCCCACCTGCTCAATCCAATAATTCTGTGTCTGCAGTGAGTACGGTGGCGGCAGTGAATACGGCGGCGGCAGTGAATACGACGGCGATGGAAGTGGTTGCGAATACGATGGTGGCGGCAGCGGTTGCGAAGACGATGGTTGCGGCAGCTGGTGGTGGTTGTTGCCGTTGTTTTCTTCCATTTTGGCCTTTTATGTTTTTCTTGTTCACTTTCTAGGCTAGGGTTTCCATATTTAAAGGGACTAAAGCGTAGTTGGTGATTGAGTGGGCTCCGAAATCAGCCCAATTATTTTCTCAAATATAAAATTTCACTTTTATTAATATTTTGTTTTGTGAATTTGTGTTATACAATATTACTAATATGTAAAATCCCAAAATATAAAACCTCACTTTCTAGTCATTATATATTTTTGTTTACCATTACTTTTTTGATTTTATAAATTTAAAAACTTCCTTTAGGGAGAAATGTGATTAAAGCATGAGGAATGTTGTCAATGGTTTTCTGCCCCAAGATCTGAGTGTGGGATCAATCCCAACAGAAGAGATGGGAACCCTGCTATCCTCTTGTTTGATGGCTTAATTAATTGCAACTTTGGATTAGATTGGTCAAAGAAGAAACGAATAAGTGGTGCCTTGGAGTGGTTTTCTCTTACATTCGTCGGGCTTTTAACCAGGTGGTTAGTTGGGAAGATGCCAAACGGAGAAGTTTCCAATGCGCAATCGAAAGTATGTGGAGTCTCTGCATAGATAAGCTCATTTTTGATTGGAATGGAAAAGATATATGATCGATGCTAGCTGTGTTTGAAACACAATGCTTGGCCTCCTGCTTCTTTACGTTATCATTCTCGGGAGATTGCGAATCTTTTCAGCATTTCAAAGAGTGGTGGCGCTTGCTACCCAAACTATCATGTAAAAGAAGATGCAAATATGTCGATTTCGTATGGCGCGCGCGTGATCAGACTGATCATATTCTGAAGCATTAATTTAAAGTAGGAAAGGAACATGTTTCATCATTCAAAGATATCTCAATATGTAATAGCAATTCCAAATTTATGATCACAATTTGTGGAAAGATATATTTGAATAGATGGTTTTCGCGCCAAAGTTCGTTAAATATCATCACTTTAGAATTTAAAGCTCCAAAGATATTGTTCGTTTAAAGAATATCTTTTTCCGTAAGATCAACTTCATGTTCATCTTAAAATAAACTAGATCATCACCCGTACTACAGTACGGGTTGAATTTCATTTATTACAAAATTTATATATTATATAGTTATAGAATAAAATCGTGATATATTATAATAGTAAGTAAAAAATATTAATTTTTTTATGTCAGTCCATATATATAATATTAGAATGAATATATTTTTATTTTTCTGTAAGCTTCAATTATGGATATATTTTTTAAAGATATGAGAACGGAAATTAATATTATTTTCAAAAAAAATAATATTGTTTGAACAATGAGTTAATTTATGTTAACAACCACAAAATGAGAGTGAATATAATTTAGTTAGATCAAAAATCAAAATATCATAAATGAAAACGTAGATTATTTTGAATTAGTTAGTTAGCTATTATTTTGAATTAATTTAGGAAATTATTTTTTCAAATTCTAATTTATTGGTTGTTGAAATAGAGATTTGTTTGAGCTAATTACGGAATTTACCAATTATTCACATAATCGAATATGTTATGAACATATATTTGGTATATAATAATACCAAATTCGATCCGTGTGGAGTCTATATTTTCATTTTACAATCCCTATGAAAATATTGTGGCACAATCTATTATTCATTATTTCCAAAATTGCTTGCAGAATTAAATTTTCAAATATTTAGAAGTGTCAAACCTTATTTAACTCATCTCATCATAAAATCTTAAAATGTCGTCTATTATAAGGATCATAACTTTCTATCATATAATACATTACTTTTAACCCGCCGCCTACTATAAATATATTAAACATATCTTTTTAGAAAATCAAATTAGTATTTATAATTTTTTTTATCTTTTTAATCTATTAAATATTTATGATATTCTTTAATATATTAAATTAAACTTTTTTTAAATGTTCCAAATTAAAATATTTAAAATTTTTATTGTAGTATGTAAAATTATGAATTTAAAAATATATATATATATATGAAATTAAATATAAATATTCAAATAGTTATAAGGATCATAACTCATTTCATCATATAATACATTATATTTAACGCGCCGCCTATTATAAATATTTGTTTCAAAAAATCAAATTAGAGTATTTATATTTCTTAACTTTTTGATCTATTAAGTATTGATGATATTAAAAAAGGAATATATTACTCAAATATGAATTTTTGACCCGTTAAATTTGTTTTTTCATACATTGAACAATTTATATTCGTTTTTAAAAATTCAAATCTTTGTATATGCGGAAAAAAATTACTTTTTTTTTTATTATGTAGATGATTTAATAATTTATTTATTTTATAGAAATAGAATAATATAAAGATGAGAGGTGAAGTATAATGATTAATAACAAATTAATTTGATAAGTTAGATATCAAATCTTATATGTTCATTTTGATTGGTCATTCTTTTTTAAAAAATTAATAATAGATTTTCGTTTTTATAATTAAATTAAATTAATTAACTTGCATAAAATAGTATTTGACTTGTTTATCCTTAATGAGTTGAATTAATTTACTCTATAAAATTTTATTTCTAATGGCATTCTTAAGTAAATTCTTACAAAAGGGAAGGTTAGTTAAGGGTATCTTATAAAGTGTACTCCCCAAATAATAGTATAGGATTACTACTATCTGCTGGGCCGGCCCAACATAATTTGTTGGCTAATGAAATTTTTTTTATAATTTTTATAAAACAAATGAATTTTTTACCAAAAAATAAGTAATTAAGTTCGAAATGGCAATGGATATTCATGGACTTTATCAATTTACCCCAAGTTTCGATCTTAAAAGAAATAACTACTATCTTTTAGGCTGACCCAACATAATTTACTGGCTAAGGAAAAAAAGAAATTTAATGTTCAGTTGAAATTTTTGTTACCCGAAATTTAAGTAATTAAGGATCGAAATCGCCACCTAAAAATTGATATTCATGGACTTTTACCAGTTGATCACAACAGCTTTTTCTGAACTAATGCCCTTATATTAATTTATAGAGTTCAATTATCTAAAATCTTTGTTTTGTGGGCTTTAGTCAAGGGTCGGGCCTGTTTACCTAAACCAACGAATCGGGCCAAATCTAGAAAACAAAACAACGATGAATTGAACATTTGGTGCGAAAGTTAATTAGTTCAATAAGGCAATCAAACCAGATTATTGTTGACTCCTATTGGAGTTGTTGAAGACATTTATGCATAGAGCTTGTGATGATAGTCAAAGTATTTGCTTCTTTGGCTTCTTACATTGTTTCCCATATTCAAATGGTCTCTCTTTTTTATTCCGTCAAAAGTGATCTTTATTTATCTGAAAAATAGTCAATACAAAGCTGTTCACTCATCCAAGCCAGGAGATTTTGTGAATCAGAATAGAAATCATGGAAAATACAACCAAATTTTTCTAGATTATATGGGCTACTAGCAAAATGTAAATATCACATAAAATGCAATGACTGAAGACTCCAAAAGACAATCAAATTCTCACAAAAGCGGTTACAAGTCTATAGAAAATAACATTTCGCCTTCCACACATTGTTCACCATTTCGAAACCATATTAACATGAAAGCGAATCAGACAAATTAAAAAAAAAACTAATAAACTCCACGAAATTTCAAATTCCCACATTGTCGGTTACAAACCCTAAATCAACACTTCAATTTCCGCCGCCGTTTCCTTCATTATCCTCACCCTCATCCTCCCCATCACCAGCCGCTGCCGGCCACGCCTGCGGTGGCGCGTACATTCCACTACCAGCCACCGGAGTTCCCATCACCACTCCCGGTGGATAATAATATTGCGGTACTCCTCCACCGTCAGGATGTGGCATAGCCACAAAGCCAGGATCAGCCGTGGCGATTCCATCGTCCTTGGGGACAACATCAAGCAGAAAATCATAGGTGAAAGAGCTAGCCACTGCATTAGAAATATCCGATTTCTGAAGCGTGTGGCGTTTGTTCTCTTCCGCATTGAGCCACGACCGCATCGTGAGATCAACGATGAACATTTCGCAAGCCTTTGCGAACAGGATCGGAGCCTCCGCGGAGACCATGTGGACATCTGGATCAGCCTTCATTATCTTTTTTATTCGAGTCAATGGAAGCTGACGGTTTTTGAAATCCGAGACGGTTTCCATTTGCTCGATCCAGTAATTACGTAACTGAGGGTTGGATGATGCCATCGGCGGTAGCTGCGAGTACGACGGTGGTGGGTGGTGGTTGCCGCTGCTCATATTGTCGCCGTTGTTGTTGTTGTTCTCCATTTACAATTTCTAGGGATTTGGAGGTTGGAAGTGAGGTTTTTATCGGAGGGTTGGCATATATTTAAAGGAAACCTAAAAGCGTAGATGGGCTTTAAAGTAGTCAATATATCTCAAATGTGAATCTTTACAATTTTTTTTTTTTAATTTTTTTTCATTAGACGTATTTAATATTATGATTTAGGTGTGTTACTGGTTAGTGAAAGTTTTTTTTGTTTACTACCCAAATTAAGGTGAGAAATTTGATTTTCTATAAAATTGAAAGGGAAGATTTTGCTAAGATTTATTTTCATATAGTGTGACACGAAAATGAAAGTCCACATTTTTTTTTCCAAAGATTTCACACATTTATTTTTTTCTATTTGTATAGTGCTACACATATGGGATTTTACACCGTTTTAGGTAAAAAATCCACACATTTGATATTTTTATTCTACATGTTTAATAATACAAGGAAATAAATCTTAGTGTAGCCACGGGTGTGAATTTTTTTTTTTATAAAATTAAATTAAAAAGATGTATTAAAAAGCAAATAATAGAATAGAAAAAATTTAAAAAATTTATGTCAAAGCATATGAAATTTTATTTGTTAATAGGATTAAATGTTGTATTATATTTATTTATGTGGGAAAAATGTTTTCTTAATAAAAGATTAGATAATATTGTAAGGTATAAAAAAAATGTTGAGATATAAATATATATAAAATTGGGCCATGTTGGGTTCAATTTTAAAGTTGCAAAATAAAAAATAGGCCTAATATTTAAGTAATCATCTTTGATTGTGTTTTAATAAGCATAAATGATTTAAAAAAATTTAAAAAAATGTTTTCGAAAAAAAAAAAGACAAAAAAGCAAACGACCAAATTGCTTGCTTCGTTTCCGATTTCTGATAACGGAGAGAAGTCGGCATCCTTGTAATAAACATCTTTCGACGATTTTGATTTCTAATTCTTCTTAATTGAGCTTCCCAGATTGATAACTGCATGCAATTTCATTCCTCTCAATCAATTTCGGAATTGAAGAAATCAAGAACTATAGTTCATCGATTATGTTCCAGATGAGTGGAATTAGAAATTCGGCTTAAAGGTACATCGAATTCTCAGGTTTAATCGTATCTATTATAAAAAATCGATGAATATTGTTCTTCAATTGATTAGTGATTGAATCGTTATGTTGTAAGGAATTGAACAAATTATAGAGACAATTTGTAAATCGTGGATTCAAAATAATATAATTCAATATGAAAAATCTTGATTGAAGCTCATCGAACCAATGTGTTTTTACATTGGTTCAAATATAGATTATAAACCATATGCTTTGCAATCTTAATTTTTTTCAGATTCAACAATTGATATCAATTAAGGATCAAGCTTGATAAATTACATCTCTAATCTGAATATAAAATTATATGCAGGTTTTTGGTACAGACATGTACATGGAGAAAGAGTAAATCAATCTAATGAAGACAATCTAACCAAAAATTATGAGACGGCATGCAATGAGCTCTGTTGAAACAGACTATTAAGGTTAGTACTGCTACCTAACTCATAAAGCTTTAGAAACATAACTCATTAAGTCTTTGATTTGATGGATTTGATTAATAATGAAATAAATGTTCAATGAATTTAAAAATTAAGCAGAGTTATAGGAAAGTTTATATAACATCAGAGTTTCAATAGAAATCTAAAGAATTAAAGAAATTTGAAATGAGTTTGTTTCCAACTCTTATTCAAGAAAAGATTAATGACTGCATCTTCTGTGTTATCGTTTAAGCACTGCTATAATGTTCAAAACCTGCAAATGACAGAAATAATAAAATTTAATTCCTAAATGCATAATTAGTTAGTTGTAATCTGCAAAAAAACATTAGACTAACTAAAATACAGAAATAAGTTATAATTAGTGGTGAAAGTTACCTGAAGGAAAAGCTATAAAATCTTCTCTTTTTCAGTACTGGCTTAACGAAGGTTTTGGAAGACTTCTTTAAAAACAACATTCATTGTTTTGGTCTGAGGTTTACCTTTCTTGTCGGTGATAAGAATCTTCAAACCTGATTTTGACGTCACTCTAGATATTGCCACATAAAGTTGCCCATGTGAAAAAACCGGCCTAGGCAAATAAAGTCCAACATTGTCTAGTGTCTGTCCTTGACTCTTGTTTATGGTCATGGCAAAAGCTACAGATAGGGGAAATTGCCTACGTCTCATTTTGAAAGGCAGTCTTGCATCTGATGGTGTTATGAGCATCCTAGGAATAAGAACAGTCTTACCAACTTTATTACCTGTAATAACTCTAGCTTCGATAACTGTATCTGCCATTTGAGTGATCTGTAGTCTTGTCCCATTGCATAAACCTTTGTTAGGATCCATGTTTCTGATCAACATGACTGGACAACCAATTTTAAGGCGCAAACAATGGTTAGGCAATCCAGAAACTCTGATACTGTTTAGAAAATCAGGAGAATAAGCTTCATTATTTGTAGAACTTGTATCAGCTGGGTCTATACTGTCAGAGCTTAGGTAGATTCTTTCTTCACCTACAGACAAAAGGAAAACAATTGTAAATAACTAATAAAGCTGATTTGAAATTAAATTAGGTAACTTAAAAATACTAACAGATGTTGATGGAAGTAGTTACCATTCACCATGTTCAACATATGCTCATTTATGGAGTTCACATCTTCATTAGTAGGACAAAGAATAGCTCTTCCTTGAAAGAACTTAGGATCATTCTCGTCCATAAAATTATTTCCATAAACAGCCTGTATAATTGAGTCGACCGGATCATGATCCTGAGTAATGAGAAACTCTTCTGGGATATCAATCTGAGCAATTCCATCATTAGGCTGAGCAATTTTACCATCCCCAACATCTAATATCCACTTTGAAAATTCCTCGATATTGCGCTTTTCATGCTCACTAATGTTTGCGAGAAGTCTCATGTTTTTTGTTAGCTCCAAAACTTTGCAATGCTCCCATATATAAGATGAATTTAATGCAGCAAAAACGATTTCCTCCCTACCAGCACCATTGATCACTGGTAATACCTGTCTGAAATCACCTCCAAAAACGATAACCTTCCCACCAAAAGGCTTGTCATCTGGATTATTCATAATATCTCTCAAAGTTCTATCCAAAGACTCAAAGCAATGCTTGCTCATCATTGGAGCTTCATCCCAAATAATAAGTTTAGCCTCTGTAACTAACTCAGCAAGATCTGTTCCACGTGAAATGTTACATGTAGACGACTCATTAGGATTTAAAGGAATTCCAAACCTTGAGTGTGCAGTTCGACCGCCATCTAATAGCAGAGCAGCAATGCCGCTAGATGCGACGTTTAAAGATATGTCTCCTTTTGATCTAATAGCAGCAGAGAGTAACTTCCAGAGAAAAGTTTTCCCAGTACCTCCGAAACCGTAAACAAAAAACACTCCGCCTTTGTCATGATTCACAGCATCCATTATCTCATCATATATCTTCTTTTGCTCTGAAGTCACCTTAGACAACCATTCTGCATGCTTTTCTTGCAAATATTGACGGTTGTACTTGCGTTCATCCAACAAAAAATGGTTGCATTTTTGTACATCTTCCGAAGAAACTTGTGGCATCTGTCTCCATCTTGTAAGTGAAGTTCCATTTTTGGTTAGCAGCCTGGCTATATCTTGTAAACAAAATTCCTTTTTTTCCTCATCACTTAGAATAAGATCTGCAAATTTAATAAAAACATAACAATGAGATAAATTATAAATAGATATTAAATCCATCATACCAATAATTCACGGTTTAAAAGGAAATTGATATCCAATTCACTCGCACAACAAAAAAAAAATGATATAAGAGAGAGACCTGGTCGTTTCCATTCATTTCTTTTTCTGCGCTCTATATCCTCTGATAGAATCTTCCAGGTTGTCTCCCACACCATCTCTGGTTTGCTTAAGCTGTCTGAAAGAAGCATGATGACAAATAGCCTACGAACATATTTTGCAGAGCACCAAAAATTGGCATCTGTAATACCCTTTATGTACTCCTTGTCATCATCTAGCAAACCTAAAGCGAAAACTGCATCCCTGAAGGTTTCGTGAACAACACCTTTCACAGTTTTGAGATCATTATAACATGTAACACCTCTGCAGATGTTTAAGAGTATTCTCAAATAATAAGCATCCTCTATTGCACGTGGAACAAAGTTAATTCTTCCAATAGCAAATCCCCTTTCTCTTGGTGAGAATTTTTTCTCTTTGCCATTCCAAGTGAACATATTTGGAATTTCTTCGTATAAAAGGTTTGTTGGATCCGGAGCTTTCTTTGTTTTTTTTTTCCGATTTGAATTGACTATTGGATTTGGAATCTTCTTGTTAAGCTGAAACCATGCCAAAAACTGTGTTGCTTCAGTACTTAATCGAGTCATAACACTCTCTGTTGTTTCACCTTTCTTGTAATAAATTGGCTGTTTTCCTTCTTCATGGAAGAAAAGTTTAACAACTGGTGTAGTCCGATGGTGTATAGGAAATTTGAAAATTCTCCACATAGCTTCGCAAGCAGATACGTACCTGTAAACAATATACAACAAATCAAGTTACAATCCATATAGTTGCCTGAATGATATATATAGCTTCTAAAGTAATGACGATAATAATGAAATAACCTGCAATCAAAATAATCTTGAACTTCGTCCTTTCCCTTGGTACCAGTAGTCTTTCCCGGATTTGGATTAGAATCAGCATTTGCAGTATCCTTGTCACGTGGCTCAACAACAAATGTGACACGGTCATGACCTTTATGAACATACTTGAACAGATACTTTATTGACCCTGATTGGTTGCACCACTCAACGTTAATGTGCGCATTATAACGAAGGGATAGCTTCTCGTTATATGGGATCACGTAACGATTATCGCACTGAAAACCATTCTTCTCAATGTAAACACCAGTGTTACGTCTTCTATAAACTGGAAACCCATCATCATCAACCCTAGTATGGTTGGTAATCTTTTTTGGAAAAAACTTAGAGCATTTACCATTAACCATACATGGTGAATTAGGAAAACCAGCACCACATGGCCCATGAATCATACAGTCTTTAACCACCTCATACAGTTCTCGTTTTTTCACCTTATCTGGAATTTCAGCAGATATTACTTTATCAATGTCTTCTGCTGTAGCAAACTTACTGGTGGCATGCATGAACAACAATATGTGCGCATGTGGAAGGCCTCTTTTCTGAAACTCAATTGTGTACATTGCTGGGAAAAAAAAAACAAAACATATAAATCATTAAACATTTAGGATATATAAATGACAGGTGCTACTAATTTAGATAACAGATTCAAATAATAAATACCTGAAACTGTCTTCCCAAGTAGCTTCTTTGTAGTTAGATCATACATTAGGTTATCTAACTTCATCTTGAATATCCTAGAAATGATGTCTGGTCTATCGTCAGGTTTCAAATTCCTCTCTTTACAGAATCTAACTATTTCAGGCCACTTTGAATTGCAAGTAAATGTTATGAAAAGATCTGGAAATCCAAAGTGTTTGCAAATAGCCATTGCATCCAAATAATTGTTGGTCATGTACCGTGGTCCCCCTGTAAAAGAAGCTGGAATCCTAAATTCTTTACCTTGATTTTCCAAATCATTGTTTCCAGCATTAGACGCATTCTGAATAGATTCTAAGTTAGAACTCCGAAACTTTGGTTGATTCTTCTTAATATATCTCAGCCTGTTTGACTCAATCATAGTGTAAGCATCAACAATGAACTGCTGAAGCAAGCGCTTGGAACGAAGTAAGACATGTTTCTCATGTTTCCTTTCTTGTAGACGGTATGCAAACCACTGTCTCATACTTACATCTTTCTGTTCCTTGTCACTGCCACGGCCATTTGTTTTAGCTTTCTTGATACCAAGAGTATAACCATTTTCCCCACGTGCGAATAACAGAGGATATTGTAGAGCAAGGTAGGATTTATGCAGTTCACTTATTCTTTTTAACTTCCCAGAAGTTTTCTGCAGAACAATATCACGTTTATCCATATTTTCATCAAAATCCCCTGGAATTAAGGCAGCAACTTCAGATGCTGATGGCATATTATAATTCCTGCCATCACCGGTGTGAGCGGCAATAATTCTCATATGAAAAGGCTCTTCTGCGTTTGTATTAAATCTGTCTCTTGCAGTTCTAAACGCCTGAACATGAGGATTGACTTGATCTAAAAGCTTGATGATACTGTCGATGATTTCCTTTTTGAACCTGTTCTTTCCCTGGTCGTTTTCAGATTCCTTCCCTTTACTAAATAAACATAGTTTGGGTTATCAGATATATTAGTGATAAACTAATGTAAATTAGCTTATAAAGAAGAGTGAGTAAGAGAGAAAATACCTCATTATGTTGTATCTGTTGTCAACCTCGTTTTCAGTATCTACAATATAAAGCTGTTGAAACTTTGGATAGTCACCAGCTTTAGGCTTCAGAGCACCTATGAGATGGTAGTTTTCACCTTGAATTGCAAACATCTTCGGCCCACGACCCTTAGTAAGACAATGATCTATTTTACCTCCAATAGATGTAAATGAGAACATCATGTTGTAAGGTCTGATGTTTTCTCTAAAATGTCTTGAGAGTTCATCATTACTGGTAAGCAAATGCCATAATAATTCAGGTGAATCCTTAAAGGATGGTAATACGATTTGACCTTGCATACAGCACAATGAAAATTTAGGATTGTTGGTATTCCTCCTCTTGTTTACGCGTTCCCCATACCAAAAAATAGCACCACATTTGTCACAACTATGAACTGGATCACCTTCATCGACATAAGCTGGAAAAAAACAAAAAATTAATATAGGTTATAGTATTGTACTGAATTTTTAAAATTGAGTCTCATGATTGAGTTAATATGTATATTGTACCACTCTTTCTGTTCTGACGATTAGTAGGTAAAGGATTTGGTTTTCCAAAAGCCTTTTCAAACATAGTAAGTATGTCAAATTTATCTTTAGCTTGATAAATAATGTCATCTGTGATTTGAGAAACGTCGTCAACACGGTCATCTTCATCTGAGGATGCATTTGATGAATAATCTTCTTCACTACTAAAAAAGAAATCTTCTTGGTTGTTGTCTTCATAGTCTCCTGTTAATATTGGAAACAAATTTAAAAAATATGATTCTTTATAAGATTTTTATAACATGACAAAGGTCTTACCTTGTGAGGAAGCTTCATAATTTGAAAAATCAGCATCTTCATCTGTATCTGAACTGTTACCATTATCTTCTACATAACTCTGATGAGAGTGAAGGAGATCATCATAAAACTGATTGTTTTGTATTGATGATCCGGATCCTCTTGTAGTACCTGTAGACAAATACCAAATGATAAATCTCTATATGTATTAGTCATAGATATTAACATGTATCTCCTAAGCCATCATCATCCACAAAAAAATAATGTGATTTAGTACTAATAATGATTTATAACCTGTTGTAGTCACCTTTGGTTCTTTTTTTGGCAGAAGATGCAGGAGCATAATCATCATTATGCGTATAAGAAGATTGACTCAAGAGAGGAGAATCATTGATTTGAGTTGAGGTAATCTGGGAAGTATTGGATTTAGTACCTGACTCATTAAATACTGTTTATAGAATTAGCTCTCTATATTAAGTCAAATAAAGGTAATAGGTTCTGAACATAATTCCCACAGCAATTTTATTACTTACATGAAATAGGTGAGATATTTCTTGGCCTCTTTGCATTACGGTTATGATAAGGAGTGCTTCTCTGATTTAAATTGTCTATTGCAGTGGACGACAACGGTGTTCTTTGGTCAGATGGTGATTGTCCAGAGGTATTGCGTGGTGAGTTCGATATGTCTCCTAAAACTCTTCTAAAAACTGAATTGACTGCAACATTATTGCTGACATTACTTTCTCCTGAACCTGGAACATTGTTTTCATCGATTACAGTAGATGTTGGTCTTATTCTAACAGGAGTTTGAGTGACATGAGGATCAATTTGACCCCTTGCTTCTTTCTTCTTCCTCATGAAAATGTGACTTCCTGAGGAACAATAGGATAGATTGTAACACAGATGTGATGATATACAAAATTTGTAGGAATATAATTGTAGATGTTTGATAGTATAGCTTCTATGCTCTGTTTTACCTTATCAAACTCTTGAATGTGTTCCGTAGTCTAAGACTATAACAAAGCGAGTTTTTTTACTGTATAAGAATTTATGAATCTGAGTTGGAGAATGACTAAAGCTTGGATAAATACTATTGTACCAGATATGAGAATAAAATCTTGTTAGATCTGTGGATATATTCAATATCTGAAACTATCTCTAAAAAAAATAGAGTTATTTAAGATTCTTTATTAGTAATTAGTAACTAAATTCTATACTATCATGATTGACAGGATATACTAAATGAGAAGATCAAACAACAGGAAGCAATAATCTCGGAGGATCACGGGCCTATTATTGAGGTCAGTATCATTCAGAATGATCCGCTTATAGTAAATTTTGATGGATATAATATATTGTCTAACGTTCTCTGAAATCCATAAACATAATTAACAAAAAAGGAAATATATTATTCCATAGCTTGTGCTAATAGCACATTTAATATTAAGTTTTACAAAGCATACATAAATGAAAAGCAAGATAAAATAAAACATAGGGGGAATATTGAGAAAACAATCCACTCAGAAGTGATGTATTAGTTTGAATCAACTTCTTCCATAAAAACATCGTCATCATCTGAGGGTGTGAATTCACCATTTCCCTGAGTGTAACACTTCCTGTGAATCAAAACTACAACAAAAATCAGAATCAAACAATTTGAGTATAAGTTTAGATAAGTTGAATCTATTATAGCGAAGGAAATACATGAATTTATGTCTGTTGATGTCATGGAAATTTGGATCAAAGAAAATTCTTGGACAACCTACACCAGTAATCAAGCAAGGTTTACCTATAAAACAGAGAAATTCAAAAATCAGTTCCATAACCAAATGCTTAGCTATCTAAACTGTCACATGTAGATAATGACGTTTACAATTAGTTGTAGAAAATCACCTTGAAAAAGTGAAATCCTCCAAAATCGCAGAACAATCATGATTGGTTCATTGTGATAATCCACATCACTTATTCTTCTAGAATACTTCCTTACAAATTCTTCACAGAAATTTCCTTTTGCCACACAATTCAAGTAATGGCCACTACATGTAATGATACAATGTATAATCAGATGCTCACAGGTAATAAGACTGTTAACTAATACATACATATTTTTCAAAGCACGTAATAGCATTGTAAAACTGTACTTACATAGTATCCTTCAGTGTGAAAGTAACATATCTTGAATCTATGTCACTTCCACCTTCCAGAAGTTTTCCAACAGGAGATACACTGACAACCACTCCACATACATCTAAAAATAGCATGAATCAATCATTAGTATATAGATGATCTATTACATTTTACAAAAAATGGTTGCCAATATAACACAGAAACTTACCAACAACATATTGTTTGTCTTCTTCTGATGCATTATTGATACTGAAAAAATCCACACAATTAAAAAAATCGGATTGTGATATTGGTCTGACAGGATCCACCTCTGTGTTCCTATTACAGTTAATCTGGTAAAAATGATCAGAGTTTCTTTCGGGCAATGAAGGTGGAATCACATCAAATTCCGACAAAAGGTACCACTGTCCTTCTCTGAGCTCTCTAGGGAAGTTCCTTTTGATTGCAATTGTAGGAACCGTAGCATCAATTCTTTGTCCCTTAATCAGAAAATGATAATAAGTTAAGTTTCCTTTATCATTATCAGCACAAAGAGAAAATATATAACATTATTAGCGCAAAGAGAAAACAATATATACCGTTTCATCCACAAGAATCATAGTTGTCTGATCATTAGGATGTTTAGGAGGATTATTCCAGATGCTTAAGACCTTAACAAAAACCAGCCATTTCTTCTTCCTTCGATTTAAATCAGATAAAAGCACAGCCATGATCAGCGAAGTAGATTAGGATGAAAACCTCTCTAACTGGTGTGTTTTTTGTTTCTAAGAAATGAGCGACTTGAGTGTGATATTATACTGAAGTATAGATGTATTTATATACAGGTTATGAATGGAGTGAAAACCTATAGCATTGTGTCCAATTTACTAAATAAAAGTAAACAGAATGATGTTTTAATAAAAGCAAAGTATAACAAATAATATATCACTATGTCAAAACCAGTTGTAAAACATGACCATAGCATATGATTGATATATTGACAGATATAACAGCTTTTTCCTTTTTCAAGATTCATGTCTCTGTTTTACCTCTAAGAAGCTTGAATTTTGACCAGATATAACAGCTTTTAATGGTTTTCGTGCCTATTTTGTGTTTACTTATTCAGATACCTTTAAATGTTGTAAGAGTGACGCTAATAGACAAAACCCGTGAATAAGAAAACAAAGCAAGTGGCCTATTTCACATCCAACACAAATACCAACCAAATGAAATAAATATCAGAACATATATTAGTTATTGGTATTTTGCGATTTTCTGTTTGGTTGTCATGTAAAACAATTAAATCTGGTAAGACTGATTGCGGGATTAACGAAAATAATTGCATGAGTCAACAGGAAATTTATTGGCTGTTCATTTCCTATAGGATTCAGACCAGTATGTTGACAATGAGATAATTTGACTGGAAATTAAAGCTTATGCATTTACAATTAAAAAATAGGCTTTGTTGGATTAGGATTTAAGTTTTCATGTGCTGTATATGCCATGGTAGATAGTTTTTATATCATAAAGTACCATGTACATAATATTTTTAATTTTCTGTACTATTTGTAGATATTCTCACTAACTTTTAAAACAGTTGAGTAAGTTAAAATTTTTTAGAAGTAGTTACTAACTAAATTATACTTTCATGATTGACAGGATATATTATGATAAGAATATCAAACAATAGGGAGCAAGGATCTCGGATCATCAACCTATTGTTGAGGTTAGTGTCATTCAGAAGGCTGAGCTTATAGTATATTTTGCTCAATATAAAAAATTCTTTCTGTTCTCTGAAATTTAAAAACATAATTAACAAAAAAAAGGATAATCCATAGCTTGTGCTAATAATCGATTTAAGCAATGCTTTTTTCACAGAAAGCTTGGGAATTAAGCAAAATAAAAGTAAAACACAGATAAGCAAAATAAAAAACAACTGAACATAAGAGTCTAATTTTACAGATACGGGAATGGCACATTGCTTAAAAAAGTTAACAAAACAAAGCATTAAAGGAAGTCCAAGATAGAGCATAACATAGGAGGAATTTTCTTGATGCCATCCACACAGCTGCAAATCTTAGTTAGAATCACCCTCTTCATCAGAAACATTGTCATTATCTGAGGATGCTGTTTCTTTATTTCCAGCAGTGAAAAAGCAGCTGCAAAAATAAATATAACAAACATAAGAATATAAAAACTTATGTATAAATAAACCAATTTAAATTTCATATAGATTGTGGAAATACATGTAGCAGTCTCTGTTAATGTCAGCGAAATTTTCATCGATGAACATTCTTGGACAACCTCCTTTCGTAATCAAGCAAGGTTTACCTAAAAACACAAAAAAAAAATCCATAATTAGTATGCACTGAAATTTGTTGGCTATATAAACAGTCAAATATGGATTACGAATCTTAAAATTTGTTTGGAGAACATCACCTCCAAACTCTGATATCCTCCAAAAACGCAGAACAACCATGATTGGTTGATTGTGATAATTCACATCACTTATTCTTCTGGAATACTTCCTAACAAATTCTTGACAGAAACTTCCTTTTGCAACACAATTAATGGAATGGCCACTACATGTAATGATACATAATAAAAATATAATGACACGTTTGAAATCTGTTAACTAATACAACTCATATAGATTCTCAGACTATATTGATTTTCCAATAAAACTTACGCAAGGTCCTTTAATTTGAAAGTAACATAGCTTGAATCCAAATCACTGCCTCCTTCAAGTAGTCTTCCAATAGGAGAGACACTCCTAACCACTCCAACTACATCTAAAATGGGAATAAGTCAAAAATTAGGCTATAAGAGTAAAAAAAACTAATCCCCGAAATTTGGAACTCTAATCCAGAATATTACCAACAACGAATTGCTTATCTTCTTCTGATGGATTATTGATCCTTGGAAAAGCAAGACACTGCAGGAATTCGGAAGTGTATTTCTGTTTGTAGTGAGCCATAGTTGTCTTCTTGTTAAATCTAAGTTGGTAAGGATGATTAGAGTTCCTTTCACACAATGAAGGTGGGATCACATCAAATTCCCAAAGAAAGTACCACTCTCCTTCTTTGAGATTTCTAGGAAAATCCCTTTTGTATGAATTTGGAGGAACCACAGCATCAATTCTGGTACCCTGAAATATAAAACGTTAAAAAGATTTGTCTCCCTCATCATCTATAATAAATCTATAGAACAAATGATATAAAAAGGAGAAAATAACACATACCTTGTTATCCACCAAAATCATGGTAGTGTGATCATTGGGATGCTTGGGAGGATGATTCCAAATGCTCAAGATCTTAACAACTACAAACCATTCCTTCTTCTCAAGAGTTAAATCAGTTAAAAAATTATTCATTTAGAAAAGATTAGAGGAATCGGCTGAAAAGGATGAAAGTTGATGATTTTTTTGTTTGTGCCAACTCTTGGGAGAACTTGAGTGTGATACATGTAGAAATAAATATATGTATTTATACACATCTAGAAAAGGCCAAACCTATAGCATGACCAATAGAAACAATTTAGAAAAACCAGAATAATCATTTTTATATATTACTAAAGTAGAGAAAACAAAAACTTTATATGTGACAACCAATTTGCAAAACTTGACCATTGCACCTGATTGTTTTTTTGGTTTTCAAAGCTACTGTGTTTCTATGACATCTGAGAAAGAAACTTTAATTTTATGATAAAATGCAGCTTTTTTTGAATACTTTGGACTATAGTTAATATCAAATAAGCTTAAAGCTTGTAAGACTGGGGGGAGGGGGGTTTACGAAACTAAATAATACATTCAATATAGAATATATAGAATCACAATGCTACAACTTTTTAAAATCTTTGCATAAGGGGAGATGTTTTTTTAGCATTTCCATGACCAATATAGTTCATAGCAGATTAAAAGAGAAAGATTATTTGCTTAACAACAAAAAAACTATTCAGTAACTTATATAAATTGTAAGGTACTGACATTAAAGGTCCATCATATTCACGAATGATAAAAGTTCATAACAATGCAAATAACTTTTGGCAAAGTACATTTAAACATAAAGTAAAGTCTCTGGGAATCTTGAAATTTAGAGATAGTCAAATAACAAAAAAAACAAAAAGAGATAACAGGAATATATCAAAGTACAAACTGATAAAACATATGATTCAATTTTATCCTCTTAGCTTTGTCTTAGTTAGAATCCACTTCCTCCACCTGATCATCATTTACCTCGGCGATTGCAAATGATCGACTAAATTATAAAAAGCAAAGAGGAAATATTAGTTAGTTTAATCTCATGCTAATTAAAATATGAGAAAAACATAAAGTATGAAATTACATGTATCTGTAGATATCGAAATCTGGAAATTGTTCATCAATAAAAACCCTTGAACAGCCAGCTACACTCATTAAGCAAGGTGACCCTATAGAGGAATAACCAAAGAGAGTTTAAGATTAAATAAATATGCATATATAGATTTTGATCAAATTAATAGAAATAATGTAATTCACTATAGTTAAGCACCATTTATTTCAGAGATCCTCCAGAATCGCATAACAGCCACGATTGGATCATTGTTGTATCTAGGAGAACTTAAACGTGTAGACAATTTGTTAACAAACTGCTCACAAGACTCTCCAACAGCAACACATATCATCTTTTTGCCGCTAAAAATATAAATAACATAGAGATTATTCAGATTAATACAATCTAGCTTGCTAAAATTATCATGTAAGACTAAACATAATAAACCAAAATGCAAAACTTACTCATTGTCCTTAATCTTGAACATCACATGTCTTGCTTCATAATCGATTTGTCCTATACCACCGACAAAAGGCACTGTTCGAATGGGAGACACACTTGTTATCAAACCAATAGCATCTACACAGGAAAACATATAGATTTCAGATTAATGGCTCTTGACAATATAGCTAAATTATGTATATAGATCTTACCAGATACATGCTCCTTTTCTTGTGTTCCAGCATATTTGATTTCATCATAATCAATGAAATCCATGTAATTGTTGATTGATCTAGGAGTAATGTGAACCATTTTTGTTTCCCACTTACATTGAATCATGAAAGGGTGCCAAGAGTATCTAGAAATGGGATTTTGGGGAACAACGTTAAAATCAGACATGAAGTACCATTCACCTTCTTTGAGATTCTTTTTGAAATTGTGTCTGTATAGACCATTTGGGATTACAGCATCGATTCTGTTTGCCTACATAAGAGATTTTATATGAGTTGTGATATTATAAGATGTCCACAACTAAGTCTGTGATAAAACAAATAAAACTAAAACGAAACTATAAGTAATAGGTAACACATACCTTCTCATCAACCAAAATCATGCTTGTAACCATACTCGAATTTGGTGTGGAATGAACATTCCAAATACTCAAGATCTTTAAATGAACCTTCCAGTTCATTCTCTCGTTGTTCAAATCAGAAACAAAATTCATGGGATAGGAAGAGTTTGACATTTAGGTTTTGTTTTACTTCACGGTTGGCTTGTTAAAGGAAGAGAAGAGAATTAGAGAGCAAACAAACTAAATATAAGTTGTTTAAAAGATTTGATAGTTTGGATTCTGATAACTTAAACAAATACTAATAAGTAAAAAATGCCTTTCAAAATTCTACTCAAGTGTTTTGTTTACGTTTTATGTCAGGTAGAAATGATAGACATTGGGTATATCAAAACCAAAAATCCGGTTTTGAATGATGACTATTGTTTTAAATGATTTGTATTTATTAGTTTTATTTCCCAAATGAAGTATCCTATATTATATGTATAGGTGAATACAAATCATTTCGATAGTAGCTAATAATATATTCTATAGATTGTGTGTCCATATTTTTCAAGAGGCTTTTGATTGGTTTTGATAAGCTTTTGCAGTGAGCTATTGTATCAAAAGAAACCTATATACATTGTCGTTTAGTAGCTCTTATTTTAATAATTTAGAACACATCAAAACAATAGAATATAAAGAGTTAAGGAGATGATCTAGAGTTATGAAATTTTAATGTTATAGAGCAATTCATGAGATTAACTTAATAGCAAATGTAGGATAACATTGTTTGAAACTTAAATCCAAAAATTATCAATCCGAAAATTTAAATATAACAACCTAAATAGATAAAACCAATGAAAATAAAACATCAAGGGAACTTCCATCATCAGATTCTCTTAGGCATCATCATCTTCATGTTCATCTTCATCAGTGAAGCTACGACTGGGAAGAAAAAAAGACCAAATTAGTGTGTCTACTGTAACATTAATAGTCAATTGTATAATTAGTAAAAATGACACTTACACGTATTGTGGAATATCCAAGTCATAGAAAGTTGGATCAAGATACAAACGGGAACAACCAAATTCACTCATCAAGACATTTCTTCCTATAGAACAATTGTAAAATATATAATTTAGAAATATTAACTATTTCAAACACATAAGATAGTCTAATTAACAGAAGGAAACAAAGAATTTTTAGAACTAACCATCAAACTCTGTAATTCTCCAGTTGCGAAGAACAGCCACGATTGGTTCATAATTATAAGTAACCGAGTCGACCTTAGCAGACCAGTTGGTCATAAACAAATCACAACACGTACCAACAGCAATGCACTCAATTATTCCACCCCTGAATAATATTTCATGAATAGCATTATGTTTATATGCTTTCAAAATATCATAAAACATCTTAGATGTTACATATAGCATAAAACATATTAAGAGAAAAACTTACATATTGTCCTTTATCTTAAAAGCCACAAATCTTGACTCATTGTCTGACCCTCCCCGAGGACACACATAAGGAAATCTTCGATCAGTATTGACACCAGCAATCACACCAATAGCATCTAAACTCAAAAAATGAACAATAAAAACCAACTATAATCAGTAATCTAAAATATATGGATTCCACATAAAAACAATTTGTAGAAATCTATACCAGTCACAATTTCTTTATTCGATTCCATAGGATACTGGACTTCAATAGGAAAAACAAACTCAAAGAAGTTACTCCATGATCTCTGTTTCACAGGCCACATTCCTGTTTCCGAGACAAACCTGATTTCAAATAGAGATGGTGAATATCTGATTCTGTTCTCTGGTTGGATAACCTGGAAATCAGACAGATGAAACCAGAATCCTTCTTTCAGTACTGGTCGAAAATTCCAAAGGTATGTCCCAGATGGAATCCTTGCATCGATTCTTCCACCCTACAGAACCAAAACATTTTAAGTACTTGTATGACAAACATAAAAATAGTTTTATTGCAAGATAAAACTAAATAGAAAGTGAAGCAAAAGCTTGATACCTTTTCATCTGCCAACATCATGATTGTTTCAGATCCAGCAGAACCCAAATCCTCTTCCCACATACACATAATCTTAACATAAATCCTCCATGCTGTCGAGTGTACATGCAAATCAGATACACTGTGAACCAACTCCATGGGATATACACGTTTGTTTCTTTGCATTGAATGCAGAGGAGTGGATGGTTTCTGTGATGATATGAGAAGAAAATATAGGTATATATAGTCGAATAGGAGTGAACAGATTCAAAGAAGATAGTTAGGATTAGATATGGAAATATGAATCGTTTCGATGTGTTTGTTTGATATATCTCATTTATGATTATTTAAATATGAGGTAGATAATGATTAAGAATGATTGCATATAATCACAGTTTCCATAAATTTAGGTCTTCAAGATACTCAATATTGTATCCGGATTCTAGATAAATGATTAGGAAGCTGTTGTAGAACTTGTTTTAGATTTTGGATATAATTTAGATATTTTATTGTTATTAGGATAACAAAATTATATTATCAAATTTATGAAGAATCTAAACTTACATGCAACTAATTCAACTGATATTGTATATTAATTAACTGTTTGTTGATTTATTTGCAGGATTATGCTAAAGCAGTTAAAAAAATTGGATAAAGATCAGTCTTGACAAAGCGATTAAAATAAGTAAGTCTCGTTAAAGTCATCATGCTATACTTTAATTCGGGTTATAATGGTTTTAGGATTATGGATAGTTTCTAAAGTAGAATAAATAAGATTTGTCTTTTGTTAGATATACCGGAGAAAGCATATGATTATGGCTTGGTCTCTCCTCCACGATCCAATTTGATATCAACATATGAAATTAGGCCATACTAAAGAGTTCTATTATAAGCTTTGGCTTAAATAGTGGTTCTGGAATCGTTATTGTTAGGAGGATGGAACAAATAATCAAATAAGTAACACAACAATGATAAACCTTCTGAAATAAAACTCGTAGACAGAAATTGAAACTAAGGAAAAAATGTTTGCTAAGATGTTGTTTGAAAAAACAGAACATAAAAAATAAGATAGAAATGTAAGAAAGAAACCTAATAGAAAAACAAAAAAAAAAAACAATCCATGAGATCAACATTATTTTAGATT